CCTAGGTCGAGCCGTTTAGATTTGTGCAGCAATTTCATCCCTATACCTTAAGTTAAGGAGTGAATGTTCCCCCTTCTTTTACACCTCTTGACCTTTGACCTTTGACCCCCAGCTTCGACATCCCAACTCGTTTTCAGATTACCCCCCCACGTCCCGAATATCGTGACCGTACGTCGAGCGGTTAAGATTTGTGCCCAACTGTTGACGGACGGACGGACGCTCGCCCGGACGATCATGCGATTCTACAAGCTGCATCTGACTATGTCAGATGAGCTAAAAACACTCGCATGTATTCAACGGTAAAGAAATTCCACCCACCTCCTGAGAAATGTTTTTCCAAGTATTCAATGATGCGGGCAGAGTCAGTGATGGTTACGTCTCCGTGCTGCAACACGGGTACTTGACAATTCGGGTTGAGCTTTACGAACTATGGCTCGTACTGGGCATATTTAAACAAGTCCACGACAACCTTCTCAAATGGTAACTTCTTTTCTTCTAGCGCGAAGATGACCTAAAAGTGTCCGAACGAAATCTTAGTAACCTAGCTATAGGTAAACAGTTCTTATGTAGATACAATTACGTACTTGACATTTTCGAAGTTGTTCCACAATATCTATTCAATTGCATAATACACGCCCGCACGTGTGGACACATACGCACACACGCGCACGTGCGCCAATACACGCATAGTCATCGTGACGCAACGCTTCTCAAATACAAACTCGTTTTCGACGCTACAACTCGTTCGCGATTGTCAACACATATCGTGCATGTACAGTACACTACGCCTACAGATGGGTTACCATGTAGACGAAATGATTATGAAAATACGTTTTAGCTGTTATATGAAATTTATGTGATTAAGCTATTCGTTCCTACATTAATTCGCTGAGGTTGACGTTCAACGCGTTAACTATTATTGTAAATTAAATTGTGTAACTGTTAAACTTTGTATCAGGGTTTCTATCCAGCTATCTACTAATTTCTACATTGTGTCTATTTAGCTCTTCATGAATCCTATATATAGGATATATGTATTTTCTATAGATGTATTCTCACAACATCGCTCCAACATACACACAACGTCTGCTCCGGCAGTCTACAACTCTATACTAGTGATACTATATAGTTAGTATAGTTATACTACTCATAACTTCTATCATACTGTATCAAAACATACGATAGCGTGCGACAGGCCCGAGCCAAATTTTAGCACCAGCTTTCGGCGAGCGGTAGAGCGGTAGAATCGGTTGAGCAGTAGATGCCGCGAGTGTCGAACGTGTACTTCGACGAAATATAGTCCAAAACAGTATAAAAATTCGAAAAATTTGATCAGGATGCACGTTTTCAAGATTGATAATTGAACTAGGAACGTAAGTAAACACTCTGAATCGTACATAACGCCATCTCGCGACATACTGCCAAAGTATCTGTGAGATATTTGTGCAATAAAATTTATTTGAATTTGAATTTGAATTTGACAGACAGTATTCACTAATTGCGTACGTGTGAACGCTCCGACTCAAACCGGCCCGAGCCAAATCTAGCCCATTTGGCTCGAGCCAAACCATGACCGTGTGAACGCGACTTTAGTGTGGCTATATATATATACGCCATGCGCGATGTCTGTGCGGGCAGGCGTGCGTGCGTGCGTGCGTGCGTGCGTGCGTGCGTGCGTGCGTGCGTGCGTGCGTGCGTGTGTGTGTCTGTGTTTGTGTTTGTGTTTGCGTGCGTGCGTGCGTATGCGTGCGTGCGTATGTGTTTGGAGTAACCATTATATAGAGCTTATTATGCGCACACTTAACCTGACGGCATTAAATTCAGTAGAAATTATAGTTCCGACTTTCCGAGTTCTCGTGCACCACAGGTGCTGCACATTGGCACTAACGTCGCGGAACCGCCATGAAAGCCGGGTATGCTTGAGAGCGGGCGCGGTAGGCTGCGATAGCTGGTCTCTTCCCAGAACCCCAGTACCGCTCCATCAGTCCGACAAAGGTGAGTCTCTCCGGCCAAATGCAAAGAACGATGTCAGCCACTGTCACATGCTCGCTGCACAACCACCAGGTGGCGCGCTCTAGAACACAAGCACTGCGTGTTAAAAGGATACCATATCATAGAATTTTAGAGTATATCATGATAGTGAGTGCATAATGAATAGCATATATCTACAAATTTATATAATCACGCATTCACATTTGTCATAAAACAACAGTGAGTTTCAAAATCATTATTTCCTATCATCTATTATATCTAATAATTTGCAAAAATCACTCATGGTCGCATTTCTACAGTTATAAGTATATAAGTTCTCAGCTATAATAATAAGTGAGTATATAAATAAATAAATAAATAAATATTTATTTAGTTGTATGACTCCTACCTCCCGTATGCGATGCCAGTTGCTTCTCCACTTCGTCCATTAGCGGTTCAAGATTATCTAATGTCTTCACAATGTGATCCTCATCGAACACGTCCTTGGCACGAACGGCGCTCTGACAATATAATAAACACACCAGATTTAGGATAGTGGTTAGCAGCAGCGAGAACTTCAAAATATTTTTACCTAACTTTTATTTTACTTTCTATATGGCTTCACTTATCCATTCATTCAGTTATCCAGTGCGTAGGTCATCTACAACCCAATCTATCCATGCGCCTGCACGCGCCGTCCCCATCAAATCCATCCCCCCTCCCACCCCCTCCCTCCCTCCTCCCTCCCTCCTCCTTCCCTCCTCCCTCCCCTCCTCCTCCCTCCGCTCCTCCTCCCTCCCTCTATCCTCCATCACGTCATCTATCAGCTCATCATCATCCATTCACATCTCAATCATCATCATCGCATCCATCATCCATCCATCCATCCATCCATCACCATCATCCGATGCCATCCATCCATCCGATCCATCCATCCATCCATCATCCATCTCCATTCCATCCATATCTCATCCATCCATCCATCAATCCTCCATCCATCATCCGCATCTCATCACATCCACTCCATAGCCATCATCCATCCAGTCCATACATCCTGGAACCATCCTCATTCCATCGCCATTCCATCCATCCATCCATCCATCCATCCATGCCATCCATCCATCACTAATCCATCCATCCTCATCCATCCATCCATCCATCCATCACATCCATCATCCATCCATCCATCCATCCATCCATCCATCCATGCCATCTCATATGCCACATCCATCCATAGCATCCATCCATCCATCCATCATCTCAATCCATCTCATACATCCATCTCATCGCATCCATCCATCCTCATCGCATCATCCAGATACCTCATCCAATCCCATCCATCACCATCTCACCATCCATCCATGCCATCATCCATCCATCCATCCATCCATCCATCCCATCCATCATCATCCATCCCACCACTCCACCATTCCATCCTCCATCACCATCATCCATCATCCGACCCATACATCCATCCAGTCACATCCATCCACCGACCCATATCATCCCATCAATCACATCCATCCATCCATCCTCATCCATCCTCGCATACATCCATGACCGTCCCGTCCCGTCCGTCCGTCCGTTCG